ATTGATGATGTAATCTGGCTGACACTAGCTGTTGAAAAAAATGGTAATTGGACATCAACATTTAAGATTATAGAACTGCAGAGCTCTCCAGAAACTTGACACTATATATCAGTAAATTTCTCCTCATCCTCATGTCATAAATTTAAAAAAAAAAAACCCAAATTTTTATTCATATCTGACAATTTATATCGAAGAAAATGCTACTCTGCTACCAGTTTTGCCCCAAGCTACGGACTCACATTTATGGATTGATTTCCAGAGATGCTGAGCACGTGCAGTTTTCCAGTGGAGCCCAGGTAAGCAATAGGGCTTAATAATCCTCAAACACAGATTGCTTACTAATACGCTGTTGCCAAGGAATCCTGCCTGAGCATTTGGGCAAAGAAAGTACATAATGCACCCTCTGTACAGTTGTCCTAGCCAGTTACTCCATGGAAAAGGGTGAAGCAAGAAGAATGAGAGAGAAAATTCCTGAAATAATCAAATTTTCACAGAGAGATTTGAAGCTAGGCATGTAAAGTAAGTAGGCAACAAACTACACGGAGAAAATTATATTAAAATTTTCAATATGTAAAAAACATGATACATGATAGTAATTACTTTTTTGTGCACTATGTACTCTTTAGCATGACTGCAAGTTTGACAGAAAGGAGGCAGATGAGCCAGGTGCAATGGCTCCTGTTCAGAACTGAGCAGCAGAGGCTGAGCACAGAGAGGTCTTTGCCAGTTTACTCTTTAGCGGTAAGAAGGCATCATTAAGAAGGAAGCTTTCTGTGGACTGACTTGTTAGATGATTATGAAGAAAATTTAAAAAGGACAGACTTTTGCTTTCATAGAAGTGCTGGAGAACAACAGCTACAAGACAACTTTCACACAGCAAAAGTAGATTGTTTCCTTATTTTACTGTAACTCAGACTGGATAACAGTAATGAATATTTATAGAACTGCCACAGAAGTTTACAGGCAGCGCTTATTCAGACAGGAAGCTTACACTTGTAAAGGGAACAATTAATTAAGGCTTTTATTTTTTCTCCTGTAAGTGCTCTAATTTCCTAGAAGATTGCCTTTATAGCACAAGATTTTACCTGGGAGGCTACTGAAAATATGTAAATTTTTAAAACTTGTCCTTCTTCACAGCAGCAAAATTTAAGAATTTGCTTTGCATATATAGAAAAATAGTCTCAATTAGTATCACTTACGGATCACACAGTCATACGCTCTTAAACTCATATTGAGTTATCGGTTATTTACTGTGTTCCCCATAATCTACCAAGATTTTGCGATCTTCCACCATTTTTAACTAATTTGGGAGAAATGCACACACATAAAACTACAAGGCTGAAATAGCATCCTCTTCCAACTATACAGATGCAGTTGACTCTTATCTTCTACTCTTAGTCCAAACCTCCTTCACAGTGGCACTTTCAAAATTTTATTCTTTTTCTCCTTTGTACATACTTTCTTAGCATGCAGTTAACTGTAACAAAAAGTCTGTATGTCACAGACACTTTTGAGTCTATCAACAAAAGTGCACTAGAGAAAAATGAGCAAAAGTTACTAATTCTTCTTCATATCTTATACATCTGAAATTCTTATAAGCCTCTATTGTCACAACTATGTTCATTGGTTTGTGTAGGCTTAGGCTTGAGCTTTTCAAACACAAAAAATAATTTCTATTTTGTTCTGAATGGAGTTTTTCCCTGACCTTTTGTATTTCTTATTTATCTAATTCAAACAAGAGAACAGTAAGGAATTGAATTCTTCAAATTTGCAACAGCTGTGAGTCACTAGACCTCCAAGAGAACCTGACGGGTCCCACGAGAACTGAGGCCAAGTGCATATAGAATAACAATTTCATGTGTGGCATTGTGATGATCTCTAAGGTCCTTTCCAACCCTAACTGTTCTATGATTCTATGATTATATTTCCCCTTTCTGAGATGCAATGGACTTAACAAGTCTTAATGACATGAACTGTTTTTAATCTGCCAGAAAAAAATTCTGTCAGTTACAAAATTACATCTGTAAGGAAAGAGAAGATGATTACAGGTGGGTCACATGCTCAGCCATGAGCTGCGTTCATTTCCAGAGACAGTTTTCTGAACTGAGATCCAATTCTATTTATCACAAAATCAAATCATAATTCAGGAACACGACTTAACTCACAGGAAATTAAGAGTGATTTGAACTACACTGGCCTTAAATAATAATTACAATAATTATTAATAATGATATTTATCATAATATTTATAATAACGAGTATTATTTTTAATGTGCGTAGTTCTTTTCATTAATAAAATCCCACTGAAACCAATGGGATTCTGCACAGAACAACATGTCCTGTATGGGCGGACTCCAAGACATATGGCATTAAAATGGGTATCTTCAACAGATAAAACCTAAGAACATACCTTTTTAAAAATTATTTGCAATTTGAGGCAGCTCTCTTGAGATTGCTTATAGCACAATTTTCAAGAAAAAAGGAGGGAGATTTTCAGCACTTAGTGAAAATTAACAGTTTCTTAGTAACCTCAGAATAATCAGATCGTCAATATTTTGATAGCTACAATCAAAATCAAAGGCTACACAATTCCACTTTGACATACAATATTATAATCCAAGCCTTCTTTTTGCCACCAAGACATCGCACTGCACTATAGCTTTATCATGAGAACAGGTCTGCAGTTTCTTGACATTTTGTAAGATTCTGTTTTCATGTCTTTTTTCTTCACATTTTCTTCAGATAATTCTTTTTTAAAGAAAACATTTATTATTACAAGCTCACATGGAACAAGAAATGATATTTTAGAGAAGATATTAACATATTATATGAAGATATAAAGATTATTTCTGAGTTAGCTCTTGTAATGAACTAACACATGCAGTATCTTGATCTCGTTTAATTTCTAGTTTAAGATTACTTTCCTGGCAGTGTCCTGGTTTTGTCTGGTACCGAGTTAGCTTCTTCATAGTGGCTAGTGTGAAGCTGTGTTTTGGATTTGTGCTGCGAAGAAGGCTGATAACGTACTGATGTCTATAGTTGCTGCTGGGACAGTCAAGGACTTTTCAGCTTCTCTTCTGTGCCAGTGTCTGCAGGGGCAGGAGAAGCTGGGAGGGAGCACAGCCCCAATTACTAGCCTAGCATTCAATCTTAGGTTCAGGATTGAGTCCCAGATTGGCCAATGATATATTCCATATCGAGCACGTCATGCGCAGTACATTGATGAGGATCTGCCTGGAAGTTCTCTCTCTCTGAGTTGCTCCTCTCCTTGTGCTCCCTCCCCTCTACCCCATCTCCCCCAGGTTGCCCCTCTCTCAGGGTCTTGGTTGGCTCTCGGTCTTCTGTTTGCATCTCAAAAGTTCTCAAACAAGTATGAGTACTTTTATGTTCAAGAAAGGCACCTCCCCGCATGATGAAGAAACTAATCCCCAGTTTAGTTCTGTATTTCTGGCATGTAAAAACTGGAGAGATTATATCAGATTTCTATCTGCCAACTACGGTACGTAATTCATTGTCCCATCCAGTGATCAGCTGTGACTGGAAAGTTACTGTCTCCTAATTCAGATTAAATGATATTAATAGAAACTTTCTCAGCCTGATTTCAAGTTCAGACCTGTTAAGCACAGTCAGCTTTGGTATAGTCTCCTAATATGCTAAGGATCAGAGTGTAATTGAGAGTCAGTAACTCTCTGATCCTTAACATATTAGGAGACTATACTGAAGTGCCCCTCTGAGAAAAGTAAGTAACACTTTCAAGGAAAGGAAAAAACATTGTAATAAGTGGTAAATCAAGCATTGCTCCTTCAGCGACTGATTTCCTCATATGGAGTGGCTAATCACTCAGGTATGGTATGAACTACTCCTCCTTTGTAGCCTTCATTAACTATTTGCTGGATGTCTTCAAATCTCAGTATTTTAAAGAAAGATTAACATTTTTCTCCTTCTACAGGATGAGGAAACTGTCACCATTTTCAGACTCTACTTGAAGGCACTCAGCTCTGCTGAGAGTCTCAGCTTGAAGTTGTTTTATTGAGCAATGTATTTGAAATTAAACTCTTGTCTGGTGTGGAAAGGAAAGAAGGGTCTATTGGAACCATCCATTGTTATAGTGATCCCTGTTTTCTTCAGCTCCCAAGGGCTGAGACTGAATCCATATTACAAGTGAACACTCATATAAATTTCCAAAGAGCCGCAAATAGAGGCTTTCAAAGTCTGAGTTTTTGAAAAGGTAAGCTGTCATGTACATGCTTAGTTACCCAAATAAGTGACCTGGTCTTCAAATGAGCTGAGTATGTACAGTCTGGATTAGAATGAACAGCAGACTTCTCATAGATATTCCATTTTCTTTAAAAGTTAGGTCACTATTTGGCATAGAGATGCACCTAATTTTGGTTTTAATTTTTTTATGAGTTTTTGTAATACTTTATTACCTATTATCTTTAGATTTTCCTGTCTAAGCACACATCAGTAATTACCATGTATATTTTATGAATAAAAACCCAAGGAACAGGCAAGTAAACCAAGTACTTTCTAATACAGTTCATACTAGAATCATATTAGTTTCCATAATAAATAACTTTCCACACAGTGTATATCAGAAATAAGAGGTCTAAACTAGGCACCTCTTTGCATCTGAATCTCAGAATAACTGTTGCATAACCATCAATAAAGTGTCCTATGCTACACTGAGACTTTGTCACTGTAAATAATAACACTTCCTGTAGCAAACAGAATATGTAAGCTGCAAGGTAGGTTTTGATGAGGTTTGAGACTTTTTTTCCCCTTGGATCAACTCCAAATCTGACTTTAATGGACTTCTAATAAACTCTGAAAAAGGTAACAACACGTTCATTTCAATATCAGCAATTCTTGCATAGGAATTACACAACACATAATTATGTTTTTAGCAGTGGGATGATTAAACAAGACAGACTGCAATGATGTGTTCATTCATAGAATACATAATTCCCCCCCAAAATAGGAAAGATTTCTACACTGACCGTAGTCTGTGTTTTCCGGCTCCCAGCAATTTGATGGCCAAAAATAGGGTGTCTATTGACAAAACAAAAAAGTAGGGAACTCAAGTTAGACAGTGCAAGGATAATACAGTCCTTGGATTTATACTAGTTTCCAAAGTCAGTTTACATTTTTTTGGTAGATCTATTTCATTCTTACCTTGACAATTTTGAAATAGGCATCAAAACAGAAAATTACTTTTGTATGCTTGTTTATTACAGTAGTGTCAGGATAGCTTTGAAAAAGAAGAACAAAGTGTTCTTTTTATTCTTAAAGGTAAGGGAACAAAAACCACAAGGTTAGGTAGTGAGGCTTTCTTTTTCACCTTGCCTAGAAACATACCTCTCACATGTCCTGAAGAATCAGTTTTAGAAGGTGAAAAGATAGAAGATATTTTGGGGTATACTCAGTTCTTGATTTTGGAGAGTTTTCATTAGTTTATTTTAATATTCAATACTATTTTCTAGGAGTTATTTGTTTAAAAATGTCAGTAAACACATCCTGTTTTCAGAAAGTTATCGAAGTTCTTTTCATTTGTTGAAGTCTATTTTTTTTTCTAATGGTTTACCAATTGTCATTTAAAATGGGATTTTTTTTATTGGAAAGCCAATAAAAGTAACAATAACTTGTTCAATACCATGCTTATTAAAACTGTGTGAAATATATTGTTAAAATAATTCACTTCTACCAAATGAAGAATGTAAGACCATATAGGCATTTTTCATACAAATAACGTAATATTTAAAATGGTAACTTTTTGTTAGAATGTAAAGTATTATAGTATTTTATAACTAACACATTCATATATGTACATACACTCACATACAGAGAACTATATATCATCTGAGCAGCTGGATTAATCTAATTAAATATGTGGACTGGTCTGAGTGGTATTTCAAACCACAGATGCTCTCTTAGGATAACATTCTGCTCTACTCTCTATTTCCTATTGTTTTTTCTCAAAGGTATCCCAGCTACAAAAATGGAAACCTCTCTTGCTGCCCACTTCCTTCAAATTTGTTTTAATGTTAATTTGGAAACCAACACGGCTCAAGGGTGACACATTCACGCCTACTTTCAGGTTAAATATATACTTTGAAAAACCTCCCTCTATTGTAACAATGACCCATCAACTTTAATAGGAGTGATTTAGAACTTGCTATTTACCAAGCAACAGCAATGAGTTAAAGAGTAAAAATGAAACTGTCACAAGCTAACTTCTAAGGCTGAGATGTGTTTCTTGTCAGTTGTTTCGTGCTCTGTAATGGAGCAGCAGTAAGTCATTCTCCTACCAACTAATTCTTTTCAGTGCGCTGAAATCAAAGTGAACAGTACAAGCACAAATGGAAAGAAGATCAACCCCTAAAAAATGAATGGCAGCACTCAGAGAATCCTAGAGAAAGAAGAACCTATAAAACTAATTTAACAATGTCAGTCATATAAAACATAAAGTCACCGTCATTTAAATATACAGTTTTCAAACTTGTTCTTCCTTAGGGGCGTGAAGTGTGTCTCAGGACAGGTCCAAGAAGAAAAGCACAACTGTGTAATTTTCCTGCTAACAGTAACTAAACTCTGTTTACAGGTTCAAGCTGAGCTTCAGGAAAAAGGATGCAGTGGTGGTTACTAAATACATCACTGAAACCATCTCCACTCAGGCAGCTCCTGAGCTGAAACTGTCTGGGGCTCAGATTTTATTTATGGAGGAGTAGCAGTTATGATGGAGGATGGCTTGGAGAAAGATGCAGGGCAAGAACCCTTTCAGAAGTAAAGAGACAGAGATTCTTCCAATTGTGGGCATACTTGCTGCAAATTCCATATTAAAACTCCTCATGTATACTTAGGATTTCTCTTGACAAATTACATAACTCCCACCCCAGCTGAGATCTAAAAAATGAATTCTATCTTCTGATTTTGAGCCAATCCCATGAGGTTGGAGCAAATCCCATAATTGCATTTGGCATTCATTTCACTTAAGGCTATGAGGAAATACTATATATTCACAACTATATGTTTATGATGTAAGAAGAGGACTATGTTGTATTATACATAAATGAAGAGCTACTCCCTGCAAGCACTAATACTGCAGGAACTAGCAGAGAGGGTCTCAGAGAGATTATATGAATCAAGGATAAATCTGATATTACTGTTTTCAATATTTATTTAAAATAACAGGTTAAACTTTTATTGGGACTTGCACATTGGTGGTGGTGGAAGTGTGAGCACTAAACAAAATATGGGAAAGGGGGCAGGATCTTCGATGTTGTGAAATATCACTTTAGCTCACTAGGAGGCACAGGTGACCAAGGCTTTTCTGAAGGACGAAAAGGTGCACCACAGTGGCAGGACCTGCTTCTGAGGGACTCAGTTCAGACCAGTGCTGAGAAGTGTGAAAATGCACAGAGGACACTTTTTAATTTCCCAAGCTAAACAAAACTTTCAAGGGAACAGATAAAATAGATTTTGTTCCATTAGAGAATATCTGACTAAGGCTGTGCAGGTGAGCAGCACTTGGAGTGAAAGCAACTGCAGGACGAGACTGGTGTTCTGCAAAGATGAGCACAGCAGCATGAGGGCCAGCAGGCTCAGAGAACAGGCCGAGGAGGTCTCTCAAGAAAGTAAATCGAGGGACAAAGAGATGGATGGGAGTTGGCAGTTAAGAGACTGTATTAAAAGTCCAAGCACCTTTAGAGAGGAAGTGTAGTGACAAGCCAATGTAACCACACTGGCAGCCTCCAATCAACTAAACATGAAAAAGAGACCATGGAAAAATCACAAATTAGCACGTATGCTACTAAGGATGAGTCTAAGCCTCCCTGTGCAACCATCCCTCTGGAGATAAAACCAGAAAAGTTGAAATAGAACATGAGTTTTAATTAGCAAAGCACACAATAAGTCATAATAAAAGGTTTCAATAAGGTAAGCCAAAAAGAAACCCCAGCAAAAGGCAATGATTATGATACGAGAAAGGGGTTCAAATGACAGTTAGTACAGATAAGTACAGATTATTATTAAATGCCTGCCTTGTTTGAATCTCCAGAAGGAGGGAGACTGTGGTCAGATAAACGTCTTTCCGCCCAGTGAATGACACGCAAGAGTGAGCTCTCCTTGCTGACGCTCTGAACTGGGCAGGCACAAGCTGCCTCTGAATGGCAAGCTGTGACCCTGCGGGCGTGGTGCTCAGATGCGTTTAATGGGACCTGCCGAGCAGCACAGCTCATCAGTTCGAGCACTGCACCGTGGCCAGAGCTGGCCTCCAGCCAGCTGGCTCCCAGTGGGAACAAAGTTCGTGTCTGCCCACAATCAGCTCTGTGAACATGCCCAAAATTAATTTTCATATGAAGATAAGACTACAGGGCAAAGTACAGGGAAAAAAGAAAAGAAAACAAACAAACAAACAAACAAACAAACAAACAAACAGAAAACCCCCCAAAAACGAGAAGAGAAATATTTATGTGAAGTCAGACCATTCAGGTTAGAGGCCTGACAAAATTCAGCACAGAATCCTTATGGAATTATTGTGGTTTCATTGGGGTAAACTGTGTTTATTTGTAGAAACCAAAAAAGCCTCACCAAACTAAAAAATGACTCCTGGTTCCTCAGCTCTATGAGTTATATGCATGTGTAAATACTACGATGAAATTTTTGCTCTGGTACTTCTTTTCCTCCTCTAACTCTCTATAGTGTTGAGAACCTAACTGGCAAGAGTTGTCAAAAGTATTGGATTATCTGCATGATGTTTAAAGTGGTGTAAGTCACATGAAGGGAAAATTATACATGGAGAAAATATTCATTCAAGTAACCTTTGAAACATGGGCAGCTATTTAAACTAAAATCACATAAAGAAGAAGAGCCTCAGAAGACTACGTCAAAGGGAAGATCTACCTTTCTCAGAAAAGAAGAAAAGCTGAAATTTTCTGTATTCCTATCTTTCTAGATCTAGTGTCCAGATTGAACAGTTTTAATACACTATCCATTTCTGAATCCTCAAAAGCTAAGGTTACTGAAATTTGGTTTTTCAAAAACATATTAGGTCACTGATAGTGTAAAGCCTCTACTAGATGAGAAAAAAAAAATAGTAAGTGCTATGTATTTTGACCGAGACAAAGTCCTACATTACTTTCTTCCCAGCAAATAAAGAACTATGGTATCACCATAAGATATGTGCTCAAAAGCAGCTACAGCTGCTAATAAAGTTGTATTCAAAAAGTAGATAACTATTATTCACTTTCAAAGCAGGAAATGGCATTGGTGGGTGCGAAGACAAGGAAAAATCTCCTAAAACCAGGCACAAAAATAGTGGCAAGGGACAGGATTAAGACTTAAACAGAAAAAAAGTCCAAAAAAATCAAGAAAAATCTTTAAAAAGCCTAGACAGTGAAAATTAAACACAAGAAGAAAAACAGTTTCTGATCAAAGGATATTTGCAATGCTGTAATTGGAAATTGGAAAAAATCCAACAGCAATAAACTTGCGTGCAGTGAAAATGACTGACATTTTCCCAGAGGTATATTGCACATTTTCTTGCTTAATTGTTTGATATTAACAGTCATAAAGCTCTGGTCTTAATCTACATCACCATTTGTCATGCACACTGGATAGGCTGGAATACCCCTTGATAAATTGCAGCAATAAAAGTGAATGTCAAGCAACATCACTCCTGGATGAGAAAAGACCCAGGGAGAAACCTCATCACAAGGCTCCCACGATAGTATAATTCAGTTATTAGAATGACACATTAAGCTTTTGAGGAAACATGTACCAAGTCCCCCGCTCAGGCTGGCCCTCGAGTGCACCTTGCCTGTCTCCGTTCTTCAGAGGAGTCCATCGAGTGCGTCCCCACCACCCCCCGCTGCAGCCCTCCTCAGCCCTGCACCTCATGGGCTCCCACCTGCACAGAGATTTATTGTCCCAGCCTCTGCAATCAGGCAAGTTAACACTGAGCTGGCACAAGGTCCAAGAAGAAATCCCTGGAACCTTTGACTCCAAAAACCTGATTTTCCTGCAAATGAAGTCTGAAGTTTACTTTGTCCCTT